GGAGGAAGAAGATACACTCAGCAGATAGTTGGAAATATTTTTTTACTCCTCTGCGGCTTCATATCAGAGAGTAGCACAGATAAAGATACAGTAGGGTAAATAAATCTAAAATGAAGGCACAAAACCCTTAACATGCACTTATCTCTGTATGTGTGTGTGTTTATACAGCTTATTACCTTCCTGGCCTCCCACAGACCTCTGGTCTTTCTGCAATCTCTAAGTGGTGGAGAAGGTTCACACTGATTTTACTTATTTTCAACACTGGTGGGTTTGTGTGGTCTTTTCTTTACTAGTATGTTATCGCCGTGCATCTGCTGGGACATCTTTCTTACAGATTTTCCATGTTTGCAAATGTAAGATATTTTTTTGGGGGGGACTTCCTCTGCAGATGACAAATCCATACATTTTACCTATGAATTCAATTAATAGCACACTGTTTCACTGCAATTGAGTTTTTGTGGTAAAACACATCAGATGAACTCCAAGCCTGATCTCAAAATGTAGTTTTTTAGAAGTGTTTTGTATAGCACATTCCAGAAACAAGACAGTTCACAGCGTAAGCACCTTTTTGTGTTGATAGCATGTGGAACATGTGGGAAAACCTTCCACATATGAACCATTTGGGTTTCCTCACATGTTCATGCTTCTTTGTAATACAATTTACATGTTTCATACTCAAAACAACCTTCCATATGTAGGAAAACATTTTACACGTGGATGATATACTGAACACAATTTCTTTTGACATGTGAAACATTTTCCAAATATGGAAAATTTTTCTGCAGAAATTATACTGTGCAACATGCAACATGTTTTTCAAAGGTTTTCCCACTTGCCAAACAAATATTAACATANTGCATAGTAATATGTAAAACAAGTAAACATGGTGGACTACATTAAATTGTTTTGTACAAGTAGAAGGTTTCACTATGTATTTCACATGGGTAAATTATATTGCATAATATACTAATAATATTTGTTCACACATAAAATGTTTTGCGATACATATCTGTGTAGCAGCATCTGAAACTTGCAGAAATTATATTGCATATTAACAAGTGATTTATGTGCTGAAATTGTGTAGTGTAGTAGCAAAAGAAAAACCTTGCACACTGTGAAATGCTTGTGGAAGATTTCCTCAGATGTTTCACATGTAAAAGAAAAAAAAAATTCTAGTCACATATTTCACATGCAGAAATACACAGTACATTATTGTGAAAAGTGAGAATATTTTCCTGTATTAAGTCGTGTTCCACATTTGAAAATGTTTCACTGTGACGTCATCAAATGTCAAATATGACACCACAAGTTGCATATAGACATATTAACAAGGGGAAACTTGTTTTTCCACCGAGGACTAAAGCAGATTGACATCAGATGAAATGTATGTACTGTGACCACGCTGAACTGCAATTCAATCTATGATTGCATAATGATCTAGTGAATTAGTATAGTGTTTTGACAAACTGGGACAAAGCAAAGGTCTGCTGATGGCCATCGAGTTTTTGAGGACTGCAGCTCATCCATGCATTAAGCGATGGAGGAGTGTAACTTGATAAATGCACTTAAAACAGTGATGATGAACAATGAGAGGGTGAAATCCCAGATGCCCTGGACTGTGTGCCTACTAGGCACTATGACAGCGTATTGATCAGGTCTGGGCCGGGTCAGAGGTGTGGGAAGGCATGGCTCGGATACTACTAGCGGGTCAGGTACAGCACATGAGTAAGTAGGATCTATTAGGAGACATATCTATTCTTGAGGCCATAACATTGTGCTTTTTGTTAAAGACCACACTGCTCGACCGCTTGCATTCAGTTCACTCTGCCAAGAAAGGGGGAAATTTCCCTCCACAATATAATATACAACATGCAATATTGCAAACTGTCTGTCTTTTGAAATTGATGTGACGTAATGTTTCTGTCTGAGACATTGATAGCTCTATGGCTGTGAAAACGCCCAGCTTCTGTTATTGAATAGTAATAGGCTTGTCGGCTGGTGCCTCCAATTTCACAAATGGAGCAATAAATACACATAACAGAATCAGTGGAACAATAAGAACGCCTATAAAGAACAGTTGTGCCTCAAAAAGAAGGAGCGGCAGAGCGAGGGAAGCGAAGCGACGGTGAGACGAGAGGTCAAAGTAAAACCTGACGGCGGAAAGGAAAGGAAAAGTGCGTGCATGTGAGCGAGCGAGAGCAGACGGAGAAAGATGGTGGCCCACTCTTCATTTCTGTGCCACAAGCTCTCCTGGGCATTTACATGCTGCGTTTCCAACCTAAGTGTAATTTGAGGCCCGGGTTTGATACAAAGTGTATGCAGCAGCTCTGTTCAAACCCAATCATTCACCCTGACGTGTAATCCTTTCGCTCACCATCATCACGCTGCTTTGGGAATAATGAAACACACTTAAGCAATACGCAGCAGTCGTACAGCTGCGAGCAGGGGACGCATCTCGATGAGATGCCTCGTAACTCTAATGAAAGGCGTTTTGACCTGTCAGTAGAAGGTAAACGATTGTCCTTCTACTGTATCTGTGAGAAACTTATTGATGGCAATATCTGGTCCAGCTGGGTGATTTGCATGGGAAACGAGCTGCACATTGCTTTTAAAAAACTACAGCTCTTGGCATCAATGCGCTCAAGATGTTCCCCCTTTTTCTTTCACTTCATCCATTAAGTTCATCTAATTTCTTGTCGTGTGATGCTATTGTTTCAACAAAGAGGATTATTACAATTAATTGGCTGGCAAGACATTATTTCAAAAAGGGAAATTGGCTGTCATAATTATATAGTGAAGGGAATACTTTAACTCCCTGGAATATCAGCTTCCTGAAATAATGGAGCAGCATCCCCCCATATCCTCCCCGCCCCATCAGTGTTAGCATGTCTGTCTGTCTGCCTGTTTCCTGTGACGGATCCATTTTCAACAGTCCCTGGCCCAGCAGTGGCTGTGGTTGATTGCTGGGTGGTTGGGTGGCCTGGGTGAATCTCTCACTGACTCACCTCACTCACTGCCACCAATCTGGTCCTTCGGGAACGTTGATCTGCTCTTTATCCCGTTTCCACTGCTGAAATCCCTCTTGGTGTGTGTGCGTGTGTGTTTGTGTGTTTATATCAAGGAAAAGACAAGATTAGGTTAATAGTTACTCCACCAGGGTAATAAGTAAGTAGTAGTAGTAGAATCGGATGATTTTCAACTTGATTGGCTATTTAGAAAGTCAAAAATCCGATTGGTTTTACGGTCAGGGATTACACGATATCGCACGTGTGTGCTTGCATGCCAACATGGACTTTACTGTGGGACTACATCCTACGTCAACATTTCTGCTCGTGTGGATCTGGATGTGTGGATCAGACTCCAAGTACAAATTCAGAGGCAAGTTTCAGACAACAGCAAACATGGCAATGGTGGACGGAGCTGTGAAAATGTACACTCCCAGAATGAATCATGAAAAGAAACCATTTCCAACATTCTCCTCCTTCATTCCCCTGGCTGATGTTTTGTGAGCTACATTGTGGTGCATTACCTCCATTATGGTGTCAGTGGTATTGTGTTAGCAGTGGGTGTGGTTATTACAAGGCCCCAAAGCTTCCATAGATGTCTTTACATAACAGTAGTGCTAAAATGTACAGCTCTTCGAAAGGAGATGGCTTGTGTGGATCTGTTCGTTTCAAACAACTGTTAAAAAGAGTAGTTTATCTTTATAAATAGATATTTATAATTCCACAGCTGTATTACCCAGGACATAATGACATTAAGATCTGGATGAAAATCGTTGCTGCAGTGTGAACATTTTGTCCTTTTTAGGGAGCCAGAACTAAAATCCAATGAAGCCTGACTTGTTCTCCTTAGACTTCTGCATATTAGGCACTTTCCTGAAAAAACAATTCAAATGAAGTCATATATATTTGTATATCTAACAAGCTGCACATGTATTATGTTGCTGTCTTCACCTTGTGCCTGTTCTCCTTGTCGCTCAGTGGAGAGGCTGGAGGAGCTTCTGTGTGCATCTGTTTGAAACAAAACAAATAAAAGCCAGAAAATCTCACATCTCTGTTCACATTGTTCATTTTAAAGAGCCAGTCAGTCAGTAGATCTGATTCATTTGTGACTGTCACAGCTCAGCACGGCAGTTCCTGCTGCTTAACATGAATGCATCCAGACTGCAAATGAACACCGTAAGCCTCCACAGGTTTGATTATTACTGTGGGACCCAAAGTGGACGAAAAAAGTTAAGAGCCAAACCAGATGCTACTGATCTAAAAATCTAGAAATAAGTAAAGATAAAACTGATGGACTCAACCTGCATTTCATTCTTTTTTTCTTGTCTGTCTCACAATATTTTCTCTCTGCCCCCACATTCTCTCCTACTTCAACATGTGCATTGTCAATTAAGCAAAGTAGTTGAAAATGCCAAAAAAAAAAATAAATAAATAAATAAATAAATAGCGAGAAGAGCAAGACTTTCAGTAGAGTCTGAGCCAAAATAAGCCAAGTTGCTTTCAGATCTCAGCTTCTGTCATTGAACATGATGGACTGTCTTGAAAATGTGAGCATAAAGGTAGAAATTTATATTTACCAAAACATTCAATCAGGGACTGCTGTCCTGTTGAAGCCAACCACATCATAACAAAATACGCTCAAATCTGTTATTTTCTCTGCGCTAAGCACATGTTAACGGAATCCTTTTTTACAGTAACTGCTCCACAGTGACATGCTGTTGCCTTGGCTTCTAAGTAATTACCGGTAATGATTGCTCATAGCACCAAGCTTTTAAAAAGTATTTTCTAGTGCATGGATTTTCTTACAGTGCAGTCTCTAAAAATAAATCAGAATAGACTTAATCAATGCAGGCATTTCAAAGCTTTACAAACAGAAATTGGAGACAAAATTTGTATTGGTGCATCTCTTCTGACTAAACGTGAACAGACAAAAGAATAACGTTGTAAATCATTTTATGCAGTTGTAAGATTTTCAGTAAAAGCACAAAAAAATCATAGAGTTCATTGAGTATTTAATTCATTGATCCTTTACCTTTTTGAAAATCAAAACAGAAGTTACACAGATATTGGTGATTCAACAATCAGAGATATCAATGTACACCATTGCCAAATGATATATTTCACACCATAAATACTCAACACAGACGCAGGAAATCAGTTACCTGCTCCCTGTTTGCAGTTTCTCTCAAGGGACCAATTCTGACACAACAATGCTCTTATAAACACACACCCACTTTGCTCCACCCTAACGGTAAAGTTGTACGGTCGACATGAAGCATGCTTTACCTTTACAAACGCCTGTGAAGAATGAGTGGGATAAGAAGAAACATGACTACAATTACAAATGTTTTGGCAGGAGCACTGAAAGATTTTATTTATTTATTTATTTATTTATTTATTTTTTTTTTTTGGTGGTGGTTGATAAAAACAATAATGGCTCAGGTATGTCACAGATGAGAGCAGAAAGTTGAACCAGAGGAACGTTGATAATATGTTGATGAGGTAGTAGCCAGCGGGGCGCTGCATACTTAGTTCTCCAGTGGTATTTCGGCAACCTACTGTTATTGATGCTAATATATTTACAATACACTTACAGAAACAACTTGTATGTAGGCATGGGCCGGTTACTCTAATCCAGACTTTTTTAAAAACTCAGAATCCATACCATTCCTATGGTTTAAAGTTATTTTAATTAGTTGCCAGAGAAAATTGTCTGACTGAACGGAGTTTTCTCTGGTTATGTGGTGCATAGAGCAATGCACTGCTGCCCTTCCCCCACCTATTGCTGAACACCACCTATGATCTGGCCTAAAGAAACCTTTTAGGTTTTTCTTACACTTACAAAAACGACTGAGTTGAAAGTTTCATATTATTTCTGGAAAGCATGGACCAGCCGTCACTCTTAATAATATATGGCAAGCTGTTTCAAATCAAGTGATCATGCTGTACATTTGTGTTTTAAAAAACTTTAAAGCCAGTTCTGTCTTTCACTTACTGCAGTGTCACAATGCAGAGAAAAATGATCAAAAGTTCAAAATTACTCCCAAGAATTTTGAACATCTATAAAATTTTGTTTACAAAGAAATTGCTAATTAAAAATTTTTTATTGACGTAAGTGCAAATTAAAGTTTGCATTGTTTTGACCTAAATGATTTCAAATATAAGAAAAATTATTTAAAATGTTGCTCACTCTAAAAGCACTTCGAGTGTTTTCAGTCAAAACTGGTCCTCGCTGTATTGCACAACATTAAAATAACTACATTATTTAGTTATTTAGTTGCACAGTGGCAAGAGCAAGTAGGGGAGAGTTGGATGAACAACATATGGGCTTGTGTGGCCACTACAACGTGTGCAATGTCTGAAATTCCTTTGATCACAGTATCAAAACATTATGATAGTCACAATTTATCACGGTAAGCATTCTCTTCCCAATGTGGCTGCAAGTTCCCATATTTTTGTTTCTGCAGTTAAAAGTCTCCATAAGGGGATGTTGTGGAAGTTTAACTAGCTCTTATTATGAGAACTCTATTTTAAAATTACAGTTGGGAATCGCATAAAAAGCATTTAGATCTTATGGTGTGTTTGAGTTTTAAATCGCTTTGTTACAACCGTGATACCTTGTAGCGGTGATATTTCTAATCAAGTTGAAACTCACACTGGCCCATGCCTATAACATAAGTCTTATACGTAACACAGTGTCATTTTGTAGGAGAAAAACTGTTGCAATTATTCATTCCTCTATTTGATTTTTTTTCTTTGCCATCCCTTTCTTTTTATTGCAATTTTAACTGAAATAGGTGCAAATAAAATCTAATTACACTGTTTCCTATCTAAAAGATTTTGAATATGCTCTCTAAACACATGCCTTTAGCATGATTTCAGTCAGAATTGGTCCCTGCTGTATTGCACAACAGTAAAACAACTTAAATTTCACCTTCTACAGCAGCGTTTGTTCACTGGGTAGTTCAAGTAGGGAGGTGTAGGATGTTCTGGGGAGTAGTTATTCTCCATTAAGTGGCCATTCAGGCAGCTGCTGACCGCTCGATCGCCGCTAGCCTTTGATATCACAAGCGTAGCCGCAACTCTAACCTATGCAATGTCAGGGATTCCTTTGATCACAGTATCATATTGTTGTGACATAGCCACAATTTATCACTACAGCAGTATAAGCATTCCCTACCAGCACATTCCCCTGCACGTGGAGGGCGGCGGATGGCACTGAAGCATTACTTACACTTAGCGTAATGGACCTAAACACGGGGAGAAGCAGGACAATTTTCCCCCCACCAGAGATCACACCTTGCACAGACACACCGCTGCCCTTTGAGGCATGCACACTTTGTTTCTTGCATAGCTGTTCACATGTGCATGATCGGGCGCTCGAGATTCTCACGGATGCCGATGGGAAGGGTGTTATTCTGCATCGGCCACCGTGTCAACATGAGGTCAAAGAGTGGTCCACGTGTTCATTGTACTCCTGGTCCAGAGGCTGTACGGACAACCGCCCCCCCCCACACACCCCCACATTGGCCCCCCGCTGGGTAAAAATAAACCCGGTGTGAAGCGTCGCAGCTCCTGCTTTGCACCTGCTATTTACCTCCATTCAGCTGAAGCCCCATAAATGCAGGCGCCGCTATTAAAAGATAGAAGGTGTCTAAAATGGTGAGAGCAGATGCTGGACACCTTGCTCCCTCTGGCTCAAAGAGCCCAAAATAGCGTGGTTGACATATAGGCCTCTGATTGTTTGAACAAGGAATCTCATAGACTTCTAAAATCCTTTGAAACTTCCACACCGAAACCGCTGATTATCTTTCACCTAGACTGAATCCGGTCATCTATTTGCATGTCAAGAAGCAATTTCCACAGGCTTAAGCGACAGCTGAATCTGGGGGTTTAGTGCTTGAGAAGCACCAACACAAACTTCTTCATTAGAGAAATATGAGTGTACAACAGGGGAACAAGTGGTGACTCGCACAGGTGAAAGTGACTATGAACAGGCATGTTCTTTAGGCAACAGCAGCAAAAAAAAGCACATGAAACACTGGAAATTAAGCCTGGCTTTCCCACAGTTCCTCTTATTGCTGAATTACTACATAAGACTATTTTACCTGCCTATGCTAGGTTGGTTAAACATGGATTCAGCGAGTCTTTCAGTCTGAGAAGGATCCACTAAGATCACACTGCTTACTGCTCAGGAGAGGTATATTAATCCAAGGACATTTAATTGATAAGAGTTCACATTTAGGTAACAATTTTCCTTATTTCTCTCTCTTATTTTTTTTTTTTTACATTTTTTTTCTTTTGCAGGAAGAGAAGAAGAAAACATGGTTACCAAGTTTGTCAGATTTCGAACTGTACACTCAGCTTTCCAAGTAGTAATTATTTACATGTCCTGGTTAAGTCCAGACGAAAAAAAAAAAAAAAAAAACAACACACGAGTCTGCTTATGGTTGTTGACGCCTTTGCTTTCTTCAGAACAACATTTTTTTTTTTTTTTTTTTAGGAACATTCTACTTGTTCTGAAGATGCAAAGGGGCAGGAAGATCCTTCATATAGAGCATAACCACTGACAATTACAAAAAGAAAATTATTACTGTACATAGTATTTATTATATATTTTAAATTAATCTGCATCATTTTATATTTATACTAATAACCCAAGTTTTCCACTTGTTTTTTTTTCTGTTTTGAATTTAAAGTCCCAAGGTTCCGCAAAGAGGAGGAGTTGTCAGTCTCTGCTTTGCAAACTACATGGCCGATTCTGTCTCCTGAGATCCCTCAGCCATGATTCAAGTCACTCTCTGTCTTAATGTTGCAGCCCTCAGCCTCCAATCAGACCTTGGCCTCCAGCATCTCCAGGAAGAGTTTGTGCATGGGCACCTTGCCCTGCACCTTAATGCTGTAAAAGTGCTGCACAGCCTTAGTTGCAGTCTGCCTCAGCAGGGGCAGCGTCATGAGCAGCTTGCCAGCCCGTCGCGGGTCCTCCTGATGCTGGCTGCTCTCGAAGTCCTGAAGGGCCTCGTGGAGAGCGTCCTGCAGTTTCTGGACTGCCTCCATGTCTTCTATATGCATGGAGTCTGCTGGGACAAGAGGGGAGAAAATAAAACATTAGAGAGCTTCAAGTCCTAAAAATATTGGGGGACTGTAAATATAATATAATATATATATATATATATATATATATATATATAAAGACTTGCGGTAGAGATACAATAGTAAAATGTCAAAAAGTAGACTCAACGCTGTCAACTACACAAGCTACCGGTATCGGGGAACAGTAAAGCTGAAAATGATTCATGCCCCGGGCTCAAATTAGATGCAAATTTATTTCCATAAAACCAAGAAGTTTGTTTCTCATAGGAAATAAAACGGGCATCTCCCAGAAGATAATAAAGCAATGTAAAAGAAGAAAAAAAAATCAAAACTATAATAATCCATTCATTTATTTCCAATAATTGTGTTACTTGTATACCATACAAATCTGAGGTTTGTGAAAAAAGCGGCAAGAAGAAAGACACTGTTGGAAGACACCGTGAGAAAGACTGTATGCTCTGGTCAGGTGAGACACAAGTGAACTTACAAAATGCTATGTGAGATAAAAAACAAATCACCTGGCACAAACTACATTCTACATTTCAGTGCTCTAAGGAAGCTTTGGAAGATGCAGAAGACTTGAGACAGAGCAGGACACTGACCTTAAACATACAGCAAAAGCTACAATTAAATCTTTTAGATTAACGCATACTCATAGTTTAGATTGACCGACTCAAAGTCCAGACCTAAACCCAAATGAAAAGTTGTGGCACGACTTGAAAAATAATTTTTGAAGAGATTAAATCTGACTGAATTAGAACTTTTCTCAAAACACAATGAGCAAAAATGTCAGTCTGAAGATGTCCAAAGATGGTAAAAACTACGTGTAGTTGTAAAAAAAAAAAGAAAGATGAAAGGCAGTTCACACTACTGACTCAAGAGAGCTGAAAACAAACAAATGCCACACTTTTCAGATTTGTATTTGTGAAAAGTTTAAAAAATGAGAAATAACCTTTCTTCCAATTCACAATAATGCTTAACACTGTGTTGGTCTATCAAATAAAAAATCCTGACAAGATGAAATAAAAAAGAAGAAGCCACACCTTTTAGATAGTTTTTACATTTTACTATTTGATCAAGTAGGCAGAGTGTATATTTGGACCTGATCACTGCGACTGAAAATCAATGTTGTCCTCCAGTAAACAACATTATGAATTCAGCCCAATCTGTGGTGTGAGCATCCACATTAAACAACATCCCTGTGGGATCCAAAATGTGGAAAAGGGCAACTCCACGTTAGAGTTGAACTCTACAAAGGTATATGAAGGAAATTGGACATTTTCGAGTTGTGATAAATCTTTAATCCTCTATATTTGTTAAAGTAAATCTTTATTTTTTTTATCTTTATGCTCATGAACTCAGATTTTCTCCTTCTGAAAAGTTTCAGACAAATCTACAGTTTCACCTGTAACGATACGTTAAAACAATTTTTGTTTCTTTTTACTGATTCGACTTCCCTTCGCGTCACCACCCTCCTCTTTCCTTTTCGGCTTTTATTCTTGGCCCGCAGCTTTTGTCTTCCAGCTCCCCTCTCTCTCTCTCTCTCTCTCTCTGGCAGGCTTCGGGGTGGCACTCTTCCTCACCGGTTAACTGGCACCTGGCACTCAGGAGACAGCGTGTCATTGGCCGCCTGACTCGTCTCACCTTGGCAGCGCATATTTTACCGCGCGGGACAATAAAAGGCAAAACAGATTTCAGGCTTCGCCCCAGATTCATTGACTGGAACAACTGTATTCCCAAGACCTTGAGACATTTCTCACCCTGACGGTTTTCAAATCCACAGTGGTAAAATGAAGTAGGTCGTTTTTGTAAAGTGAATGCGGGAGGGGGTGTGGGGGGAGAACAAAAGCCAAAAAAAAGGGAAAAAAAAAAATCACAGATGAGGTTATGGTGGGACATAATTATCTCCTTTTTTTTTTTCCACAGAAGCCGTGTTCACACCCAAATTGTTTGTTTTAACAAATCAACGCAATGTTTTGCTCTGCTTTTCACACCTTTGCATAGACACACATTTCTGTGATAAAGTTGCTTTAATGAAATGTTTTACAGCGGGGGGAAAATAAAAAGAGCAATGGAGACATCTCAACAGATGGGAATGAAAAGAGGGCAGAGCGCACGACGCTCTGTTCAGTGGAGGAGGGGGTGGAATAAAAAACAACTTTGAAGAAACAATTTCCCTGCAATCCATCAGTGAGCTCACGTCGATCGAATTGATAAACTGCTAATTACAAAATCAATCGCTATGAATTTTCACAGCTGTCAGACAGAAGGGGTTCCCGGGAGAGCGATCTCCCAGAGACCTTGTTCCTCCTCCTCCTCTCTCCCCCATCCCCCATCTCCGCCTCACCCCCCGCCCTACCTGCCTCCCAAAAGCTCTGCTGTCTGAAAGCAAAGTCCTTGCATCAGCATTTTCATTTTCAGCCTAGGACAAAACAAGGGAAAGAGGCCCGGTGACCCAGGCGCGCATTGATCAGAGCGGGACAGCTCCTGCCTCCTCCAAAGGCGCCTTGTCAATAGCGCCATGCAGCCTTCGCATCGGAACAAACGAGGCCCACCGCTTCCTGATATTCATTCCATTCGACTTAACACATTTTATTGACAGTCCCCGTGCTCCTAATGAAATGCTAAATTTACCTCACATGGCTGTTGTGCCTTGCAGCTACTGTTATGGAGATGGAGAAAGAGAAGGGAGCGCAGGAGAAATAGAAAGGTGCGAGGAAGGTGTTCAGTTCCAAAAAAAAAAAAGGGAAGTAAAAGCCTTTTTTAAATATATACCCTTTCTTCTCTCCATATCTTTATCTTACACTCAAAATTAAAAGTTAGTCTTAAAATTTCAGGAAAAAAAAAAGACATTGCACTTCAAAAAATGCACTAAGTAATAGTCCAAGTGTGGTTATGTACTCTATTATACAACATAATACATTTCTCAACATTTTAAAAATGTTAAAAAATTATTTTAGTTGATTTTTGCATGTATTTGTTTGAACAGATAAAAAGCTCTTTGCTTTTGTTTGATGAAACTGTAAAATATTATTGATTTAAAATATAATAAATGTAAATAAAACAATAGCTGTGTATAGACAACAGAATAAAAGCATCAAACTTGTTTTTGATTTTCTCAAAATTAGTGATTTAAAAACAGGTCTTGTAAACACACTAAATGTAATAAACTATGCGTGATAAAGAAAAAAAGTAATAATACATCAACAATTATGCCAGGACTTTTATATTATAATAAACTACAGATGTCTAGTCCTGTTTAAAATCATATCATGAGTATTGATTTAAATACAAATAACTGTACGGAGATTAGAATACTGACTTTGATTACATTTTATTGCACTTACAGGATCACGTACATATTTTGAGAAATGTTTTATTCAACAACTTTATTTAGTTTGAGTTATATCCCACATTAAGAATATTTTAAAAATGTTTAAGCAATTTAACTGATGCTACATTTATGGGAACCCAAAATCCTTTCTATAGAACCACTGCAGCTGAAGCCTCTATTTAAGTTGCATCTTACTTATCTAAGTTTATCAGTGTATGGAGGAACTTTAAATAAGTAGTATATGCTTTACTTCTTAACAGAGAGGCCTGTGTATTTTAGCTGTTCTTCAAAACTGGTAAAATCAGAGAGAATGTCTCTTGTGAAAATCAATTTTTTAATTGCGCATTTTGTTTTATATAGTATTAATGTATGTTTAGGTAATTCTGCAACCTTATTTATTATTATTAATAATAAAATAGTTCGCCAATAAACAATTGGAGGCAAAGAGCAACCTTTATTTACCGCAAAAAACAACAACAAAAAAAAAAATCTTAAATCTAAGCATATTTATGAATTTAATAAACGGACTGTGTGCTCCACCATTCCCACCTGAGTTGGCGAGAGCAATGGCTTTGAGGGTCACGAACTCCTCCTTCTCCACCTTGAGCTTCTTGTACTTCCGCACCAGCTGCAGGATGGAGACATAGAGGTCGAGCAGGCCCGTCAGCCGCGAGTGCTCCTCGTCCATGATGTAGTCCTCGGCGTACACCAGCTCGTCCTCGTACGGCAACGAGCGGAACACGATGCTGAGGATGAGGATTTCCATCCAGGCGCTCTGCAGTAAGCTCATCTGGTCTCCCAGAGAGAGGGTGGAGAAGCCTGGGCGAGAAGACGGAAACTGTGTGAGGGCAAATGTGACATGAAAACAGATGGCTTGAAGAGAAAATACTTTTTTTTTTTTTTTTTTTTCCAAAAAAGGCAGCTGAGTCGGGTAAATTTAGCAAATTGACAACCAGGACATGGCTAATCAAGAAAACAAACATGATCTGTCCAGCCAAAGTGGCTCAAAGTACACACTGAGGCACAGGCGCTTAATTTCAAACGCACAGTAGAAGGTCTTCTTTGAAGCTTGTCTCAGAGCACTTGAGTCGGCTTTACTGTAAGTGAGGACAGTAAATCAGAGCAAAGGTCTGAGAAACACAAAGCCATGTCGTTACCCCTTGTATCCTGCCCCTGTTCTATTGATGTTAGGGGGATTAGCACAGAGACACATTCATATTGGAAGGGTTGAGGACATGACATGCACGCTGTAACAGGAGGAGGGGGACGCACACAACCACACGCGCGAACATACATAACGTGTCAACCAAGAAAGCAAACAGACGTGCACACTGACATCATGACATCTATATGTATGCACATAAATCCAAACACATAAAAAACAGCCACAGCTCTGGGATCAGGAGGTTCAAACTGGGCCTGAAGACCTGCTTAAACCCAGGGTCTCGTTCTGCAGCAGCTGGGAGAGCTGAAAATGGCACGGGAACATCAAACCACTGTCATTTCCTCCCAGACACCTCTACATATGCTCAGAATAGAACATCAAATAAAACAAGCTGCTATATCCCCCTCAGATGAGCTCTGGGGAATTCAAACAAAAGAGAATCAAGGAAGAGAGGAAGAAAGTAAGGAGCCAGGAGACATATACGGTCCCTTACAAAAAATACTTCAACGACATTTTAAGTCAAGTAATGGATAAGGTGGAAGTGGAATTTAAATTATTTAGATGTTTGACACTGTTTTACTAATGAAGACTTGAAAAGTGTGGTGTGCATTTTTCAGTGCACTGGAAATAATATTTAGCTGAAATAATCAGCAGCAAGTCTAAAAATGTGTCCTTTGAACATCTGAAATTTTTTGATGCTTTGCAGCTTAAGCTAAGTCAACATCAAAGAACAAGTCCTGTTACAGACTCACAATTACATTTGGGTGTGGACTTTGACAAGGCCATTATAACACATGAATATGTTTTAATCTGTTCCAAATTAGCTCTGGCTGTATTTTTATGGTGGTTGTCCTGCTGAAACTATCTTAGCTTTTGCAGAGGTACAGTGAAGTCCACCCATCTTCTTATCAACTCTGACCAGATTCCATGTGTCTGTTGAGGGAGAGCATCCCCACAACATGACACTGTCACCACCATGCTTCAATATGGGGGGAATTTATTTGGTGTGTTTTTCTTCAAGTGTACACATTTGCATGTAGACCTAAGATTATCATTTTGCTTGAGGACCTTCTACCACATGTTTTCTATTTCTCCTATACAGCTGGTAGGAAACTTTAAAAGGGACATCTTACAGCTTTCTTTCAACAATGCCTTTCGTCTCGCCCTGATCCATGAAGTGTCAAAATAACAGTTGCTCTATCGAGAGATTCTAAGATGTAGATCCCTGCAGCTCCTCCAGAGTCACCATGCGGATCTGGATGCAATGTTGGATGCTAAAACATCCAACATTGTTTCTTCCTCCTTATTTTGTGCAGGTATATCACATAAACGCACAGCTAAATTCAGTGAATTGTGAGCAAGTGGTGTGACAAAATGTTAACAGTTTCCACAGATATTAATATTTTTTGCAAGGCACTGTTGGTATCCTTTTCTTTTCCTTTACAATTTAGCTGTCAATAAAATACACAGGCCTGCAAAGCACTCACCATATTACCAGGCTCCCCTCCCCCAGCTAGGCGTTCCTGCAGGCGGCTCATTCTGACAGCATATTAGACTCCCCAGCACCGCCCCTGATTGCTTTTACAAGTTTGCTGGTGCCACAGTACCTGCCACAGTGTGATTAACAGGCGATAGATTACTGTATTGACCAGGCCACGTGCATCAGACGTTTTCTCTTGAATGTAAATGGCCTGACTATGGCGTGGCCACAAGCCCGATGTTTACCTCCCCCTGCCAGGACTCAACACATACAGGTTGAGAAGACAAAAAAATATATATATAAATAAATAATCATGAGAGTGAGTGAAAAAAAATATATCAGGGCGGAGGGAGAGAGAAACAAGAAAAAAAAGAAGCCAGGAAGAGTGGTACCTGAGTGTTCAATTTCCCTTATCGTGGTGATGACCACGGCAGGGGAAGAGCTGCAGGATACATTAATTAACAGATTGTGATCAGAATGTGAGGGCCTTCACATTTTGAAGGGGAATCAATAGTGGGTAGAAAAGAGCGCAAACTGAAAGGTGCTAGAACCGTCCCAAATTAGAGCCAACAAAGCAGACTGCCGAAAGCACTCAAAACACTTGACTATTATCAGTGAAGCCAATAAGCCATATTTTCTAGCGGCCCGTGCCATTACACTTATTCAGGCGGCATCTTAAAATGCTTTGTTGTGTTATTTCCTTGTCTGCATACGTAGCCATTATGTCGGACAGAATGTGGACTGGCCGGAGAGAAATTGTCAAGCGAGCACGGACGTGGTGCTGATTGCCGCATCAGGTTGGCATCACAATCACAGACGAGGCTTTGTGTAGCCTTTTAATGCCAAGGAGGACTGAAGCGGAACTAAAGCGCTGCTCCCGCGATGACAGCTCGCATGACGGCCCTGTTCAGGGCTCGCTGGAGTGGCTTTAGAGTTGTTCTGATACAACCGACACCTCTCAGCCATATGCAAACTTGCATCCCAGCAGCCTGCAATTACCTTTGACGCTAAAAGTCCTTGAATTTAATCCAGTGTTGTGAGATGGAGAGGTAGTGTTTTTCCCCGCTCCATCCCCTCTCCTCAAAGCCTAAATTATCGCTCCAAATGGGATCTTGTGTCGTTGCCTCGCCTTTTTCCACTCAATTTAATCGAGTAATGAAGTGACTTCCCGACTCCACAGGTCACGCCGCGCTCCGGCCGCCACACTCTGAAGGTGGCCCGGTTAAGTGCCGTCGGAGTGGGTGATTTCCCCTAATGAAATATCAATATTTACATCTTCATTTCCAGCCCACTGCCTTGGCGGGGTTTGACCAAACATGACACAATATTGACCAAATCAGAGGAGCCTGCCTGTGCACTTGAAGGGCCTTTTCCGCTCCACAGCTGAACGCACCAGCAGGTTTCTGTCTGGGAGGCTTCGCAGCAATAATTACGGCACATTTTCCTTTGTTCACATTAGACTTGAGCAGATCAATCAAATAAGGTTTTAACAATTAGCAATTTTCTCCCATATTAAATGGTTCATTATTGGAGGAGATCTAAATAATTCTGTGTAAATACTACAAAACAGTTATTGAACCTAAAATACACACACACACACACAATCTCTAGGATGTCATTGTTAAGCCTCCATTCATCACCTACTCAAATCTGATTTCTTTCTACTTAAGTAAAGCACCCACACAGCATGATGCTGCCACCTCCATGTTGTACTGAGACGTTGGAACGTTCAGTGTGATCAAACATTTTGCACATATCCCAAAAAGTTAAACGCTGGTCTCATTTGACCAGAGCACCTACTTCCACAGATCGCATTGTCATTCATGAAAAAAGGATCTAATAAATTAAGCTAAAAAACAATAAAGCCCTGCACTAAAACAAGACTGAAAAACCATCATCTCTCTCTTTATCTTCCCAAAAGCCTTCAGCTGTGAGCAGGAGGGGGCAGCCCAAACCCACAGACGGCCGTTTCAAACCGCGAGCGCAGATTAATCAGAGCGCTGTTTCATCTGCCGGAGAACAGGACGGTCCAAAATGAAATGCTGGAGATTTCTGTTGAGCTGGAGTTCATATTCTATTAATTTATTATTGTTTCTTTCTCCCCGAGGGCCATTAGCGCGAGTAATAAAAAGAGATGTAATTACGAGGCACGGCGGTCCCCTCCAGCTGCAGCCCCCTCGTAACTCACCCTCAATCAGACAACACAGCAGACAAAGAGGGGTGGGGGGGAAGAGAGAGCGAAGGAGGAAAAAAAAATTGCGAGAGATAGAGAAATGGGGGATAAAAGAGAAGAGAAGATACGGGGCAGAGAGGAGGGAGATAAGCAAGAAAAAGGACCAAAGAGGACCAAAGCATTAGTGAAAAAAGGAAGTGTGAGATAGAAATGGGGGAAGGAGAGCAATCCTGGCTGGACACTGGCTGATCTATCATGGCTGGCTATCAGAAGGATAAGCGGGCCCTGAAGACTTCTGCCCGGCGGCAATCTCACCTCAGCCAAGTCAAGTGCTCTTCGGGCACCGGTTGAAGTAAAACTGTGCCCAAACAGGACCCGGGAGATTTAGCACTCCTTTTATTCTATCCTCAAACTGGGCCCAGTGATCACATCGCCATCAGCTTTTTTCTGTATCAAAGCTCTTCTTTTTAGTCTAAATGTCTGATTAAAAGTCAAAAGAGAAAAGGAACACCTCCGATTTGTCCGTATTTGTTTTTATTCTGAAGCGTAATCATGGCTTACTGTGTCTTTTGTTCTTTGAAGCTTCTTGAATTTACATGACAGCATGAGGAGAATCCAATCAATAGCAGCTTGGTAATAACTTGCTGTGCTCAACATAAATATTTTGACCAGAAATCCAGCTGCATGTATGACAAACACAGATCTGCTGCAGCCTCTCACTCCACATTTGTTTGATGACAAGAAGGCTGTTGTATACACAACACGATTATGTTAAAACAAACTAATCATTGTTGCTAAGGAAAAAAAAAAAAACTCACCAGAAAAAAATAAGATGAGCTACTTGTATCAAGGTAAGTCAGAAAAGGCAAAATGCTCAATGCAACCACCAAAAACCTCTTGTGGTATTTTATATGCTTGTCCAAGCCTACAGGGAATACAACAGTTCCTACACCTCTGTTTCTATAATAATCTTACAAATTTCTTTCATTATCTTCAACTGA